CTTCCTTCCAAGAAAAAGGATATGGAAGCTATCTCATGGAGGTTGTAAACAAAATGGCCGTAGCAGAAAACGCTTACGGTCTTACAGTGGAGCCATTCGAAAAGTTCCAACACATCCGCACTTGCATAAACATAAACCGCTTACTCGCTTTCCAATCAAACCAGCCATAAACTCAGCTGTTGAGACTCCCACGAAAGGATATCTGTCAAAGAAGGCTGACCCCCCCTTGCTATAAACTTGCTTCTTAGAACATTTTGTAAGAATCTATAATATTGACCCCCTTGGTTTGTGTCCCACATGTTGAGGTTAAATTTCCATTAGGGCAGTTAGTTACTTTCTTTGTTTCTCATCTTGAGTAAGACATATATGGGACATAGAAGCAAGTGACAAGTGATGATACATCATACATGTGAATGTTGTAATTAATTCTTCCTCCATTTTTTCTTTTGTTGTATCAAAACTTGTTGCCTCCAATGTGTTATCACTCTTGTCTCTTCTATCAGCTTTTTAGCATGTTTCCAAAGAATATCAAACTCAATTGCTGTCAAACACCTCCAAATCAACCCATCCTTTAACAACAAACCTGTAACGCTTCTCTTATATACTCCCTCCCTTGATTTACAAAGATTTATTAGAAATTATAAGCACTTATAAATAATTTATAAACCTTTATAAATGCTTTATAAGCTGTTAAAATTGATTTATAAGCCTTTATAAAATGTTTTAAGATTTGTTAATCATTTCCCCTTAAAAATGATTTATAATCCTTTATGTGTTAAAACTTTATAAATTGATTTATGATTTATAAAACTGTTATTTATGATTTTATATATTGTCTGCCTTTAGCACTGAAAGCATCATTTGCTCTTCTTCGAACACATAATGAACACATAAAGCTGGTTGAATTTTGTAAATGGATTTATAAACTCTTATAAATGGGTTATATAAATTCTTATACATGGTTTTATAAACCCTTACAAATAGAAAGCAAATTTCCAAAGTTAGATAGAAAAAAAAGAAGATATTTATTGAAAACAGTCAACAGAAATACATCATCTCTCCCGTTAGAATTATTTGAAATGCTAATTCAATAGTAGAAAATTTCAAATTTTGTTTAGTTTTATTATTATAAAAAGAAAAGACTTAATTTAGATCACAAGCTAAATGAGTTATAAACCTTTATAAATGATTTATAAATCCTTGTAAATGATTTATAAACCCTTATAAATAATTTATAACCCTTTATAAAATGTTTTAAGACTTTATAATTGAATTACCTTTAGAATTTCTACAAATGCTTATAAATAATTTTATAAACCCTTATAAATAATTTTATAAATTCTTATAAATGATTTATAGACTATTATAAAAAAGGTTTTCTATATATTCTTATAAATTATATATAAACTCTTTAAATTATCAAAATCTTTTAAAAACCCTAACAAATCTTATATAAAATTTTAATAAACTTATTTAAACCCTTTATAAACCCTTATAAATTCTATTTTGAAGCTTGAGCGATGATATTGCTTATGGAACCAGCCTCCTCTTTTGCAGCTTCCACCATTTGATCCTTCAAGAACAAAACAGACAGAGATTGATATTTGTCAAGACAAATCATATATAAAAAATAACTATAATTTTTTTCATGTCAATGTCTTAAAAAATAAAAAGTAAAGGTGGTTTACCTGAGCAGATATAATCCTGGCTACAGTTTTCTTGCTTGACTCTTGGAGCTCACCCGCAATCAAAAGCTCATCCAATATGTAATACGCCTAAGAAAGTAACCAATGAAAAAACTAAGTGTTGAATAATGGCAGAGTGTTTGTGTTAATGTGTATATTACCTTGTGAAAGTTAAAAATCAAATCAAGTTCACACACCTGAAAAAGATCACACACAAAAAGAAAAATCATAAGAAGTGGAAGCAGAGGTTATGCCAAGTAGGTGGCTAGCTAATCAACTCACACTTCCGAAATAGTAGTGATGAATGATCTCAAGGACCTCTAACTCATTATCCTCCTGATCAATACACATACAGAAGTAGAGACTCGTGTACCTTTTGTAGACAACTTTGTAACCTCTCCACTCAACAAAATTGCAGAGCTTGGGACCTCGGTTCAGAATCACTCCACTGAGCTCACGTATAACCTTACCAAACATCAATGTTTTACAATATCAAAAAAAATAAAAAAGGAATGAGAAGGTCAATTAAAGTTCCACTGTTATTTTTTAGACCTTGGATCTTTCCTTCTGCGTATAAGGAGAATACCATTTGGTGAGCCTGACTTTTCCTTGGCGACTAACAAGAAGCACAAAATGTATCTGCAAAACAAACATAGACCAATGTCACTCACCTGTTCCATGAAACAAGATTTGGATTAGCACCCTTCTGCGTGAACAACAAAGCACTTGCGGCGTAACGTAGTAACCGTTGCTTAAGTCCAGATTCATATATCAAGCTACACAAAACAAAACAAAACAAAACAAAAGCCAGACCACTGAATAAATTGTTTCATACCCATTACTGCTTTACAACCAAGTCAGGACCAGGCTCTGAGACACACCTTTCCCTTAAGCCATCAAACTCCTTAGCAGGAAGAATAAATTCATTAAAGCTAGAAGGTTTTCCATCAGGGCCGAGTTCCTCACATGGTCCTTCCTCAGTTAAATGGATGCAAATCATAAAAAAGTCATGTATAATATGTCACCAAGAGAAAACAAAGTTATTAAACTTAAATCAGGTTTGGATTTACCTGAAAGGCATGGACAACAGGCTTAACTTGCCAGAACAAGAGCACATCATTATTCTTCACCCATTCCTCTATAGATACAGAGGGTAAAAACATCAGTAACAACACTAGCATTTCTCTATCGGTGATAATCTAAGTAGTACCTGTATCGCAAATGCATATGCGTTGGACATTTTCAACAAGGAACAAGTCGTATGAAGGTATGAGAACAAGTCCATCTACATAGCTCATGCTCTTATTTTCCAGCATCCTAAACCAAGAAGCGCACCAGCCACGACAACAACGCCCGTTGTGCCATCACCAATCTCATAATCCTGACTCCGTGATAAATCAACCATAAGCTTCGCAATCTGGTTGTCAACATCCACTTGCTCCAAGATCGTCGCACCATCGTTAGCTAGATACACAAAAAACAACGACGTTTAAACACAATTCTAGCTTAGCAAAAGAAACTAGATAAGCTAAACACGAGACACTAAAGGATCGATTTTTAGATAGTACCTAAGCTCCAGACACTAAAGGATCGATTTTTAAGCTAAGCTTCAGAAAATAAAAGAATCGATTTTTAAATAGTAGCTAAGCTCCAGATTATAAAGGATCGATTTTTAAATAGTAGCTAAGCTCCAGACAGAAACGACGACTTTGTAAACAAATCTTCGTAAAGAAAAGTAATTCGATGTTTTCAAAAATCGAATTTTCAATAGTAACGCAGATGGGGAGAGAAATCTATGGAAGAGTCGTGAGATTCTCGGCGGTAGATTCTCCCCATCTCCTCCGCAGCCGCTGATCCTGGAGGTGGAATGGCACATCGTGAACGGTGAAGGAGGCAGCGAAGGACTGAACCTCTATGATCTTTCGTCGCACTTTTGGGAGAGAGACGGCGGATCTCGCCGAGAGAAAGAAAATATAAGAGAAGATAGGGAAGGATAGTATTGTCTTTTGTTATTAATGAATTGTGTATTTATGAAAATGTCCCTTGAGTGGTGGTAAAGTTGAATTGTGGTATCACAAATATGGTATTTTTGCAATTGTCCCAACCTATATACAAATATTTTTTTTCAAAATATTAAGAAACGTGCAGCAAATGTTTCAACATACTTGACACACAAGACCGAGCCTAACTAAATTTGAAATTTTGTGTAGTAAACTTCAAATATAGAGTTTCATTACTCAAAATTCCTACTTTGAAATTTTAAAGTTTATTTTTGGAAAACAAAAAAAAATTATAATTGATGTTATAGAGTATTTTTTTGAGATGTTTTTTTCTTTTTTTTTTAGATGTTCTTATACCAAACGTATAATATAGCTTAAAGTAACTCGACTAAGATTAGCTTAAAGTAAGTCGACTAAATTTATAATTTGAAAATACAAGCAAATATGACGAGAGAATTTTACCCCAACAAAAAATTATGACTGAGTGTTGAAAGTTCTTTGGAAAATTGAAATTCTCCCAAGTAAAGGAAATTGTCAGAAATAACACTTTCAAGATACCACTTTTCAATTTTATATTAACCAACTTTACCATTAAAATTTTTATATTCAAATACTATTAGAATTTAGGGTTTAGGGTTTTGGGTTTAGGATTGATAGTTTAAGGTTTAGTGTTAATTTTTTAGGGTTTAGGGTTTACTTTTTAGGGTTTAGAGTTTAAGGTTTAAAATTGATATTTTAGAGTTTAGGGTTGATTTTTAGGGTTTAGGGTTTACTTTTTAGGGTCTAGAGTTTAGAATTGATGTTTTAGGGTTTAAGGTTAATATTTTATGTATACATATAAAGAATAAAGATATAAAAGTTTTTTATCTTTTAATAAAATATGTATTTTTGAAAATGTTCCTTTGTTATGGTAAACATTAAAGTAAGTCGACTAAATTTATAATTTGAAAATACAAGCAAATATGACGAGAGAATTTTACCCCAACAAAAAATTATGACTGAGTGTTGAAAGTTCTTTGGAAAATTGAAATTCTCCCAAGTAAGGGAAATTGCCAGAAATAACACTTTCAAGATATCACTTTTCAATTTTACATTAACCAACTTTACCATTAAAATTTTCATATTCAAATACTATTAGAATTTAGGGTTTAGGGTTTTGGGTTTAGGATTGATAGTTTAAGGTTTAGTGTTGATTTTTTAGGGTTTAGGGTTAACTTTTTAGGGTTTAGAGTTTAAGGTTTAAAATTGATATTTTAGAGTTTAGGGTTGATTTTTAGGGTTTAGGGTTTACTTTTTAGGGTCTAGAGTTTAGAATTGATGTTTTAGGGTTTAAGGTTAATATTTTATGTATACATATAAAGAATAAAGATATAAAAGTTTTTTATCTTTTAATAAAATGTGTATTTTTGAAAATGTTCCTTTGTTAGTAGTAAACATGAAAAGTGATACCACCAAATTGGTATAATTGAAACTCTTCCAAGAAGTAAAAGCCGAGTCGTCGTCTTGGAACGAACGACGTTAGTCTTTTCGTATTCGCTTCCACTTTCATTAATAAAACGATATATCTCTATTGACCAAAAAAAAAAACATTTGTTGTTTATCTCCATAATACCTGCACTAGTGAATTTGGCTTCAGATACAATTCTGTAATCTAATTTTGCTATTACTATAGAATAATTAATAATTGCTATTAAATGGTCAACTAGTACTAGTTTACACACAATCAAACAAAAAATAAATCTGATTTTATATACCATTATATTTATTAGCATTCTCATTTACTGGCATTGCAAACTAGGACTAACAATTTAATAATAACTAGAGTTTGATCCGCACAACTATGCAGCTGTTTGTTTTTATTTATATATATATATATATATTTAGTTATTTATATTATTTTCAAATGTCTAAATTTTATAATTTATTTGTTTATTCAATTTCAAACTCACTTGAACTTGTTGCTTCATATATATTGTTGGATTTGTGTTTAGTTATTTGACGAATTAATATATGGAAAATTCAAAGAATTTGAAAATTCTTTTATATTTCCTTTTTATTATTAAAACTAACAAAAAATCTAATTTTAATTTAAATTATAAGTAGTAGTAAAAAACTAATTATATATATACATACATATATATATATGTATATATTGTTGGATATATATATATATATAAAATTAAACTTATATATATATATATAGTAGTAGCAATCCCTTGAACTTGTTGCTTCTTATATATATATATGTATATATATATATATATATATATTTGGATTTGTATTTAGTTATTTGATGAACTAATATATATGCAAAATTTCAAGAATTTGAAAATTCTTTTATATTTCCTTTTTATTATTAAAACTAACAAAAAAAAATCTAATTTCAATTTAAGTTATAAGTAGTAGTAAGAAACTAATTGTTTTTAGTAAATATTTTTAATTTTATGACAATTTTAAAATATTCATATATACTAATCTTTAAAAAATTTAGTATTATATTTATAAAAATGATAAAATAAGCTATTAAATATTATACAAATTTTTTTAATATGTCAGATTTGAACTATATTATTAAACCATAAATTTTTATGTAATGTTAGTTCAAACATATATAAATTTAAATTGATATTTACATAATATAAAAATCTTTTTATCTATTAAAACTATATACATCTTATAAATGGGTCAATATAGTATGTCAATATCAAATGGATCATTACTAATTAGTAATTTAATTATCTTGTTCTCAAAAGTCAAAATTACAAGAACTATTTTTTGGAAAATAACAAAGACTTTAACCTTTTTTTTAATTGTCGAATACTTTTTCTGTCTATGTTATAAATATAAACTTTGATATAATTGTAAACATTTTAAATATATGATTTTCATTTTTTGGTATATATATAATGTAATTCTATAATTTTATTATTTTCTTTATTTGACATTATTAATATATAAATATTTTTTATACATTTTACTTATTATAAATTGTTATTACATATTAATTTAATTTCAAATTCGGTACAATAAATTAATAATTTGAAATAATCAAATAGATAACCCCATTCAATGTATATATTTTTGATTTCTACATTTTGCATGCAAAATATTTTTAAAATTTATTTAGTTATACAATAAACCATATATATATTTCTATTACATATTAATATAATTTCAAATTCAGTACAATAAACTAATAATTTGAAATCACTACAAGAAAACGTTTCTGTAACGACGACACTTTATGATGAAAAATATTTGTCGTAAACTTACGTGTACATTACGTGGAGTTTACGACGAATATTGAGTTCGTCGTAAAGACCACGTAAAATTACGTGGAATTGATGTAAAATTACGACAAGAGAACGAGGAAAGAGAAATTTCATCATAACTTACTTGTAATGTTACGTGATGTTTACAACGAATCATGTTAAAGTTACTTTTCGAGAAAACATTTATAGAGTGAGCTTTACCTAACTATATCCGTTGTAAAACTCTTGTAAAACGCATGTGGTTAAGTTGTAAATGACAAGTAAAATATTTCGTTTTAACTTTGTGAATTCGTTGTTACACCTTTACCTACCAAACTCGAAAATTTCTTATATATAGGTCATTTGATCACTCTTCTAAACACACCAACAAATAGAAAAAAAAAGTACATAGTCATCAGAATAGTTCCTAATCAATTCCTCATAGTTTTTTCTCGAGTAAATAGTTCGAGAAAAGCTATGTAGGGTTGTTAGGAAGTGTTACGTTGATTGTAACAAAAATACAAAAAAATACAATTTATAATTAAAGGGAGTGCACAGTCACCAGAAAATTTCTTATCAACTCCTCGTAGATTTTCCTCAAGTAAATAGCTCGAGGCTTTTCCTCGAGTAGATAGCTCGAGGAAAGCTATGGGGGGTTGATAAAAACTGTTCTGATGACTGTAAACTCCTTTTAGTTTTTTTTTTAAGTTACTTTCGTCGTAAATTAGTCGTAAATTTGCGTCGATATTACATAGGAAATGCACAAGTTATTTATTCGATAGGGTTTTAAATATTTTTTTATGATTCATAGTAATTTCTTCGTAAATTACAACGAATATAAGACAAAAAATCATATTCGTCGTAAATGACATGTAAATTAACAAGTGTTTTACAACGAAATCTTACTTTGTGGTAGGTGAAAATGTTTTTTAAGTGTAGTTCAACTACCACAAGTGTTTTTGTAAATTCGTTGTAACAACCAGGTTAAAAAGTTGTAAAATACTACTAAATTGGTTTCCTTGTAAATCACTTGTAAATGTTTTCACCTACCAAACCCGAAAAATTTCTATATATATCACCATTCTCATTCCAAATCTACACAAACGGAAAGAAATAAAAAAAATAAAAAAAATGTCTGGAGGTGGAAATATTTACGAATTACGGAGTTGGATGTATACGCATAAAGATTCCACCGGTAGAGTGACGAATGCATTTCTTGTCAGGCTAGAGACATTCATGAACCAGGCAGGCTGTACACTGCTCATGTAGGAAAGCGGTAAAATGTTATGTCCTTGTCTGAAGTGCAAAAATACAAAATTTTCACGTAATGAAACTGTATGGAAACATTTAGTACACAGAAGGTTTACACCAGATTACTATATTTGGTTTCAACATGGAGAAGGTTATGGTGGAAATGAAGCTAGTAGTAGTAATAGTAATAGTAATAGTAATAGTAATAGTAATAGTAATAGTAATAGTAATAGTAATAGTAATAGTAATAGTAATAGTAATTATCATAATGCTGGTAATCATGAATTGAATCATCTGCATAACGAAAATAGTTACCATCAGGAGGAACAGACGG